TAGCTGAATCTAGAATTTCCTGCGTTGTTAATTACATCCGTCCATGTCAGCACATTTCTTGTAATTTCCAGGAACTCAGTAAAATTTGTTCAATGCGGAACATCTGCAATGCGGAAAGCTGTCTATTGTGAACAGGAATCGCGGCCATTTTGAACGAAAATTCTACATTTTTACATTACATAATGCGTAATCTTGTCTAATACCGAAACAAATATTGGCCCCTCGAGATTGCGCATTGAGCAAGTTTTAATTTTTGCTTTAAGCCGCACGTGTGTCATAGCCCAACTCACGAAGACAGAAGTGCCGTGGCGGACTCGAACCGAAGGATCGTGGGTTCGAATCCCGCCTCGGGCACGGTCGTCTGTGTTTCGTGATTGTGGGTGTTGTCTCTGCGTAATGTGACGTGTGTCTGGCGGCAAGGAGGGCCTCCAGTAATAAAAACCGCCAAATCACGATAAAAACGGGAGTGCGCGGAAAACCAACACAAACTCAGCCCGTCCCCATCAGTGCTGTCCCCGTAGAAACGAGGCCAAAAAAGTAAAGAAAAAAAAGAGAGAAATGGCGTGGAGAAAACACGTGCCTGCCCGGCGCGCCGGCGTGCTGCGCCCTGAGCGCGTGCCCCAGCACTGTGTCGGAGAGCGGGCGCATGTGGCGCTGGCGCGCAGACCTCCCCGCCGGCGCCGCCCCCTGCGCAGCCACGCCACGCACGCCACGCCCCCTCAGCGCGGGGCCACGGCGGCGCTTGCAACCTACGGTAGCGCTCACGGCAACGCATCGCCCCAAGAAACATGGCATTTTCCTCATTGAGCTGCTTTCAAAAATTTTAAACAAATATTAGTAGAAATTGGTGCGTTCGTCGGCTTCCGCGGCCGGAGTCAACACATTCTTGGCCATCCGGGATGAGCCGCGTCTCGGCAGACGTTTCGGCACAATTTACCGTGGTATTCATATATTTTCCACCTCAATTAACGAATGTAATCCCATGATCTGTATCGTTTACGACGCAAATTACACGATCAGGATAGTTTTTCGCAACTGAGGCATTGTTGCGTGCTGCTAAATATATTCCCACGACCGCGTTCTGTGAACGGGTTGCAGAACAAGCGAGTCTTTTTAGTCATTGCAATTTATACTATTGTTAACGTTTCAGACGTAATCACATCGCAAAAAAATAATTTTACTTTTAAAACCGCGGGTATCTCTGGAGTAGTAATGTCAAACCGGCATATCTACGGCTTTCTTTTGTAGTTAGAATCACAAAGACATAACTTTACTTTGCAAAAAGTTGGTATCCCTGGCGTTGTAATATCCAACTGGCAGATCTATGTCTTTCTGTTGAAGTTAGAATCACAAAGACATGACTTTACTTGGCAATACGTGGGTATCTCTGGCGTTGTAATGACAAACGGCTTTCCTTTGCAGTTGGAACCCCCCATTTCCCGTGGTCTGTGATTGAGGTGTGATTGAGGGGGGTGGGGGGGCACCTGCTTGGCCTTGGGGCCCTTGGCGCCCTTGAGCAGGGGGCTGTTGATGGAGCGCGAGCGGCGCAGCGCGCGCTTCCTCGCCAGCATCCGCGACAGCGACGCCGACAGCTTGATGGACTCCACCTTGGAGTCGCGCTGCTTCTCCGCCGCGATCCACTTGGCGCGCATTTCCAGCTCCTGGCGACACGCAGACGAATTGATTCGCAGCCCACAATACGACTGCTCCGCCTGCGCTGGGCCGCTGCAGCGGCACGCGTGCCACTCGTAAATTACTAGACTAGAGCCGATCGCGCCCGTATTGCTTGCGGCTCGTATGTGTGCGCCTACTTCCCAGACAAACAAGAGGCGAGAAGGCTGCTCCTGGTTGATTCGTTACGTCATCTCTCGTCATCAGCTTCGTTTATTATTGAAATCTGCGGTGTTAACAGCGAATTGTTTTCGAGAAATGTTTACGAGAAGGCCAGAACATATAAAGAATGATCATCAAAAATACCTGTTTATTTATATGACAGTTATCAAGAAATACAATTTGGAGCGATTCTACTCAATTTCAGCCACCATTTCCCAGTTTTCCCTTCTCTGAGCAGTGCGGGCCACACGACCCCTCCCCACCCGTCCGGTTGGTTCGACAAGCAGCAGGCCACACCAGGGCCACCCACTGAGCCACGGCATGTCACCTGCGCCTTTCGGGGTGGACTGTGATCGCGATACTTGAATTTGTGATACAGCAGCCCTCCTGCGGATACTGTAATGTAAATTTGAATACTTACTTTTTCTCTCATTTAGCGTACCTAGTGTATTTTCAACAAAAATAGTATATCGGATGTCTTTGATGTTTTTGTTAATTGAACCAAATGTCTCCGAATAAATGATACAAATTTCTAGGGATTGTAAAGGAATCCCAAATGATAACTTGAGCCAATGAACATATAGTGAGGTATTGTATTTAACTAAGTTAAATGCATGAACACATGTGGCATTTCTCCCTGATTTTAAAGCAAACCCTCATGCACAGTTTGCTTGAAAATGATCATGTTATACCCCTCTACATGTTTTAGAAGTGTGTAATATTTATTTTAAAATACCTGAACATTAGTGCGTTCGTAAAACAGTAAATAGTTGCCAAGAACCTAAAGCTGACGTGACTCCAATAAAAAAAGACCTCCAGTCGTACCTGCAGCTGCTCTTGGAAGCCTGCGGGAGGCGTGTCTGGGAGGCTGTCGGCGGTCGCAACGGGCACGAGCGGCGCCTGGAGCAGCGTGGGCGGCGGGGGCGGCGTGACCGCCGGCGAGGGCGAGGGCGAGGCCGTGGGCGTGGCCGCGGGCGCGGGGGCGAGCGCAAAGAGCGGGCAGGCGTG